CGGAGGGAAGCTGCCGTATTACCGAAGATATCTTTTGAAAGTTGACTCTGTTAAAATCAATCTTCTCTTCATTGGCAAGGAATATCCTAAAGCTCCAAACTTTATGCGCTGGGCACTTGATTATAATGGAACTAACCTTCTGGGGCTCCCTGCTCTGCCTCCAGGATTTAAATCAGGAGACAGGAAAGTCTGGATGCGTCTTTTCCAGAATGTTGCTGGGTTTTATTTGCATCCGGTTGGATTGGAGGTGCAAGTGGATGTCAGCAGCTTGAATGTTTCTGAGTGGGAAGTGGTGAATGTGTTCTATAATGGACAGTACTTTAGGGACATGGAAGAGCTTGAAAGAGAATTCAACAAGGGGAGAGTTAGAGTGTCCAAAGTAAAGAAAACTCCTCATAATGGGGGGTACTCATCACTGAAACCAAGGGTCCCACACAAGTTGCTAGGCCCTTTGCAATATGAACCCCGTGGTCCACGGTACTGCATCAGGGACAACCAGGTCACCTTCATGTCTTGGAGTTTTGCCTTTGGAATGGAAGCCAACAGAGGACCACGTATCTTCGACGTTAGGTTTCAGGGTGAGAGGATAGTCTATGAGTTAAGTGTACAAGATGCATCTGCCATCTACGGGTCCAACAGTCCAGCAACAATGGTTACCAGGTTAATGGACCTAGGTTTGGGCTTTGGGAAGAGTGCTGTCACCCTTACCCGGGGTGTTGATTGTCCTTACGTAGCAACCTATTTGGATGGGCACTATTTACTTGATTCCGCAAAACCTATCACCCGCAAAAACTCTCTCTGCATCTTTGAACAAAATGCTGAGATTCCAGCACGACGCCATTATGAGGACCACGTAATCTCTGAATTTTATGGAGCATTAGCTGATTCAGTTCTAGTCTTCAGGTCCATCTCTGTAATGGGTAACTATGACTACGTCTGGGATTTTGTGTTTCATCAAAATGGAGCTGTTGGCGTCAGGGTGTATGCCACTGGGTACATCCAGACTTCTTTCTTCTTTGGCAATGCTGCAGATTTTGGGAACAGAGTTGAAGATCTGACACTGGGAGCAATTCATACTCACAGTATTCATTACAAAGTGGACCTGGACATCGGTGGTACGTATGCATGGCTACACCTACTTAATGAAGCTTACAGCTGTATTTTCTGGTTTTTAATGTGTGTCCCTAAATCTGTTAGGGGATTCCCACATCCACAATTGTTGAGTGCCTAATTAATGTTACTATTTATTATTAGAATGAGAAGGATTTTTTGTGTCATGGGAGGTGGCATTTATTTATTTATTGGATTTTTACCCTACCCTCCCAGCCAAAGGCCGGCTCAGGGCGGCATGGTTCCTGTAGCAATTTTCATCAAACCATGTAGAGTCTTCTTCATTTGTTACTGTATGTTTGCCCTGCTAAAATCAAGTGCCACCACTGGGATGCATTGAGGGCTCGGTGACATGGTGGGCGGTATGCGAGTGGGTTCCCCTTTCAGGCTTGGAGCCTCCCTGAGGAAACAGGGTCCGGGGGCTCCTGAGGGAATGGGCCACTTTTCTTGAGCCACGTGGGTCCCAACCGATAGACTATGCGTGAGCAGCCTGTGTGGTTTATAAATTAATGTTCTGCTTGTGACTTTTATGCCATTGTGGTTTCTGCGGGAGCAGAACTCTGTGCTTATTCTTTTACAGACAAAGTACATTTAACCAGCTTTTCCTTGAGGATAAGCTGGTTAAGTGTGGGCTGGATGGTGCAACCGTTGGATGGATTCATGGTTGGTTGAAAAATCGTACCCAACGAGTGCTCGTCAATGGCTCTGCGTCTACATGGAGGGAAGTCTCAAGTGGAGTGCCACAGGGCTCGGTCCTGGGCCCGGTGTTGTTCAATGTTTTTATAAATGACCTGGAGGAAGACATAGGGGGGATGCTTATCAAATTTGCAGATAACACAAAATTGGGTGGGATTGCTAATTCTGAAGAAGAAGAAGTTAGCAATCCCACCCAGCTTCGTGTCATCTGCAGATTTGATAAGCATCCCCTCTACGTCTAATTCTGAAGAAGACAGAGTCACATGATCTTATGATATGGCTCTACGTCTACGTGGAGGGAAGTCTCGAGTGGAGTGCCGCAGGGCTCAGTCCTGGGCCTGATGTTATTCAATGTTTTGATAAATGACCTAGAGGGGAAGATCAGGGGTCATTTCGTAGAAAAAGAGGTGCAGGAGCTCATTAGCATAACTCATTAACATAAATTATTTGCATATGTCACACACCCCTGACATCACCGGAAGTATGTCAGAAGGGAACACCCACCGCTCAGGCTCCACTGGACTATTTTGGATTGCTAGCTATTGGGGCGTACAGATCTCTCCTCACAGAAGAAGGAGAGTTTGTTTTTGGGTTTTTTGTAAATCTTTTTATTTCGTTTTTTTACAGTATCATTACATCGTTTAACAC